CGTCGATGACCACCAATCCGACACACTAAATGCATTACGAGAAAGTCACCAAAGTCTTATGATCTTTAAAAGGACCCACAACAGATTCCACCAGCCTGGGGGGGTTTTTAAAGCCACCCTCTCTCGGGTTTTGCCGCCTTGTCGTTTTTCTTATTGGATTTCTATCGAATGTGGATCGAAGGAGGATTGAAAAGGGGAAGTATTCGTAATGACTGTCTTTCGGTCATACCCTTTATTTTTGGGGCTCTTTCCCCCTTCCTCTCTAATCTTATAGTGGTACCAGAAAAAAACAATAACAAAAGAAAACGAAATCAACAGACAAAACAACAAAACAAAAAAAAACTCCATATTCGGTACATACAAAAAAAACGTCGGTACGACTAGAAACTTGTACGAAAAGAAATTAACGGCTCTCGGTATTATGGCCGAGCCGGCACCAGGATAGAAAAAAAACATTAGGGGGGGGGGAAGGAGACGTCGAATCTCCATGGCGGGGTTCTTCGGCCTCGGAGTGAGGTCTCTCAAGCCCTTCCGATGCTCCTCATCTGGGCTGAGACTCGGCCTCGGCCTCTTCCCCTCCTCGGGAGATCGATGTCTCGGGCTGGAACCCTGCCCCGGCCTCTGCCTCTCCTCGGGAGATCGCCGTTCCTCTTGCCCGGCGTCTCTTCTTCCGAGCTTGGCGGCTCCCAGTCCTCCATGACAAAGTAGACGGTCTCGGCTTCGGAGTCACTGATGGAGTCGCTGGTGGAGGCCGTTGCGGTCGTCGCCTCGACGGTGGGGCCCCGGGTGGCTCTGCGTGGCCCCTTCTGTGATTGGTGCGGGGCCTCCGGATCGTAAGTAGGGCCGCAGTTTTCGCAGGTTCTTACTGTTGCGCCCCTTGTCCCACAACCGTAACAGAACCTGGACCGGGTTTCCCAACAGCGGGCGTACCTATGGGGGCCCCCGCAGTTCCAACACCCGGTTGGAAATCGGGGTTCCACCCCTGCCCTCGGTATGGGCTGTTGCCGGCTTCGTTCCTCCGTCTCGACCGTCTGGCCGGTTCGAGTTTCCGGGACGTCCGGCTCCCTTGCCTCTGGTGCGGTGGTGTTCGGCGTGACCGGCCTCCCCAAAGCCGCGGCCAGATCATCCCAGAAGTCCGGGAATCGGCGGGAGATCCAGGCCGCCAGGTTCCAATACCTGTCTATGAATTGCTTCGTCGCTTCCTCCATTCTGCCTCTTCTCGGTACCCCAAGATGTTCGGGTTTCTTCTCTTGAGCGTTGAGCTATATAGGGTCAGGAGGGTGATAAGGTTTTAATTCCTGTACATGTATTTTTCCGACAGAGGATCCGTCAAGACGGGTTAATTCATAAACCACAGAGGATAATTTCCTCCCAATCCGGAAGGGACCGTGGAATTTTGGTGCCAACTTAGCTGCGAAATTCTGTGCGGCGGACGACAATGTGTGTTGTCGTTTTAATACAAGTTCCCCGGGGCTGAAGGCACGGTGTCTTCGCCGTAGGTTGTACCCGGTCGCCTGCTTCTGATAGGCTTTTTCCAAATTCTCCGTTACCCAGGCCCTGATCGTTTCTAACTTTTTCATCCGATTTGACCAGCTGTTTCGGTCTCCCGGTTCTACCTCTGTACCTTACCTCCCTTCTCTTTTAAGGATCTTGTCGATTTTAGTTCCCGACCTAATTTAGGAAAGCCGGTGAGGTGCCTAACGACGAATGGGCCGCGGTATTATAAGCTAATCGGAAATCCGCGAGATGCTTATCCCAGTCTCTATGATCTTTACCAATATACGCGATAATCATTGTTTTGAGAATCCTATTTACGCGTTCGACCGGGTTAGCCTGTGGATGATACGGTGGCACGGTAGTATGAGTGATTTTATTTTCCTCCGCGAAGTCCGTCATCACGCGATTCACGAACTCGGTACCATTGTCGGTGAGGAGGAATTTGGGTGTGCCCCAACGCGTTATGACTAGATCTTCCAAGGCTTCCTTGATTTTTGGACCTTTAGCCGCTCGAAGGGCCTTACATTCGATCCATTTCGTAAATAAGTCTTGTATGACTAATAAGTATTGGAAGCCATTTTTGCTACGCGGCAACGGACCGACCAATGTCCGCGGCGACCACCGTCCACGGGCCCTCCACTACGCGGCGACCCATTAATCCTGCCGGACTTGCTTGTTCTACCTTCGTCCTCTGGACAGATATCGCACGACTTCAAATATTTCACAACATCTCGAAACATATTAGGCCAAAAATACGCGACAGCTAGTCTCTGATAAGTCTTATCTATCCCCAAATGACCGGCCTGCGGCTCGTCGTTGTGATTCGCGCAGGGCCTCTCTACGTAATTCATACGGTAACACTAATTTCCATCTATCCAAATCTTCTACTATCTCGGATATGATCGGTTTCGGCCTTAAAAAATACATCTGTCCCTCTATTATTTTCCAATGGGCGTACCGTTTCGGGTCCGTTTCGACTTGCGCGTATCGTTTCCTATACCATAGATCTGTGGTATCAATGTCGACGGTATCTCGATTATCTGTCCCAGCGGCAGCCATTATAAGTCGTATCCGTATCTTTCTCGAACATACGTCGACAACGCGTCGGGAACGTGGTGTAAGGCCCCTTTTCTATGTATTACCTCGTAGTCGTATTCGAGTAACTCTAGGGCCCACCGGGCTAATCTACCGGTCGGATTCTTTAAATTGTGTAACCACCTCAGACTACTATGATCGGTAATCACCGTAAATTGATAGCCCTCCAGATACGGTCGAAATTTCTTTATGGCCCATTACCACCGCCAGACATTCTTGCTCGGTAACCGAGTACCGTTTTTCCGGATTCCGTTAAAGCACGTGACGCGAACGCGATCACTCTCTCCTCCCCCCCTAAGAATTGTGTTAATACAGCGCCTAACCCTACCGAACTAGCGTCCGTCTGTAAGGCAAATGGCTGCTCGAAATTAGGGCATGCTAATGTTGGGGCGGTGGTGAGGTGTTCCTTGATGCGTTCAAAGGCTAATTCCTGCTCTTCTCCCCAATCCCATCGCTTATTCTTTTTCAAGAGTCTCGTTAGTGGTTCACTCAAAGTTGCGAATTGGGGAATGAAACGACGGTACCACGACGCCATACCTAACAATCGACGCAGTTGTTTAATGTTTCGCGGAGCCGGATATTCTAAAATAGGTTGCGTTTTCTCCGGATCGACCGTGAGTCCTTCTTTTTGTACTATAAAACCTAAATACCTTACTTGCGTTTTACAAAACTCGCATTTTTCCGGGTTAATCGTAAGCCCTGCGGTTGTGATTTTTGCGAGGACTCGTTCTAACCACTGTAGGTGCTCTTCAAAAGTGGGTGTCGCTATAACAATGTCGTCCAAATACGCAAACGCGAACGGTTCCATTTCCGGTCCGATTAATTTATCTAATAGCCGTTGAAAGGTAGCTGGGGCTCCGGTTAATCCGTATGGCATGCGGGTAAAATGATATAGCCCTTTTCCCGGTACGCTGAAGGCGGTAATTTCTCGGCTTTCTCTCGCTAACGGTATCTGAAAGTAAGCTTGACTTAGATCGATCGTTGATATGTAACTGGCAGAACGTAATTTATCCAAGATACCGTTCATATTAGGTAGTGGATACGCGTCCTTTTTCGAAATACTATTAACTTTGCGGAAATCCAAACAGAACCGATATTTTCCCGTAGGCTTCTTTACCATTACAATGGGGTTCGACCATTCACTGTAGGAAGGTTCTATTACCCCTGCGGCTAACATTTTGTCTACCTCCTCTCTAATCGCTTCCTGTACTCGCGGTGAAACCACGTAGCAACGCTGTTTTATGGGCCGGTTTTGTCCTACGTCTATACGATGTTCTGTAAGGGACGTGACTCCCGGGTTCTCGGTAGCTTTCGGCACCTTTTCCAGAAAGAAATTTTCAAGCCTTTGTTGCTGTTTATCTGTAAGCTCCGGTAGCCCGCTACATATGCGCTTTGCGTCATCCGCGGCATCAAAACAAGACCTAATTTTCGGCTTATCTGCGAAGTACCACTCAGAGGTAGCAAAATCCATGCCTAATCTAAATTCGTGGAGAAAGTCCACTCCAACGATGCACGGGACAGCTAATTCCTTAAGAAGTCCGACGGAAAGGGTACGTGTAACGCCCCTAAGTCGAAGCGGTATGTCGGCTCTTTGGCCGATCGTCGCGATTTGTCCGTTTGCCGTCCGGATACGGCTTGTTTCGTCCCGCACTATCGGTATTCCCAAGGCACGAATTAACTTAATACCCTCGTTCCCCATTAAAGTACGGCTCGATCCGGAATCCACTAACGCAGCTAAAGGTCGCCCCTGAATATAAATAGTAAGGTATTGTAAAGAGGGTTTTATTGCGGTGTTTAAGGTGACGTACGAGTGAGCGGTATGCGTGAAAAAATTTTCTTCGCGGGTCTCGGTAGCGGTGTTCAGAGTCGCTAGTGCCCGCCCTACCGACTCTCGGCCTCGTTTCCCGAACATGTGGGACACGTCCGAATCGTATGTTTTCCGCAACGGTAGCAATGCATTCTTGGCTCTCCCGTGCAATCTCGTGAGCGATGTCCCTTTTTCTCGCAATTCCAGCATTTAATGTCGGACTCTCTATTCGGGTATTCCGCGGCGTCTTTGGATCTTGACCAGCTTCCCGTTCTGTCTCTAGTTCCCGCCGCCTTTGGCGATTTTGCTCTGTCTTTGGCCGGGGTTTTCCCGGCGCTTTTCGCGTTCACGCCTTTCCTCCTTGCCGCTTCTCCCGGTAAGGGGATTCCCACGGCACTGACCGAGGTCGCCGATTTGGAGCCGCCTTTAGGCGGGCGGTAAGCTAACTCGGGAAACATGGAGCGATCCGGAGCCGGAGGGGCCCTAAAATTTTTCGCTACGCTATAACTACGCTCTACTCGCGCTGCCCAGTTTTCTAAGGACGGAAATCGTCAATAGCTTCGCGATGCACTGCCACCTGCAACCGCGGCAACATATTCCTATGCGCGTAAATTGAGCTGCTC